CTTAAGGCATTACCTGGTTCTGTACTGGTCCTGATCCTGTCCTGACCCTGAAATTCCTGGAATTACCCTGGTCTTGCACTACTCTGGCCCTGACCCTGGCTGTCACTGTCCTAGACCGAGCCCTGTTGCCAGTGCTGCTATGGCCCTGATCATTTCCCTGGACTCTTGCCATGCCATGAAGCTGCACTGTCCTTACCCTTGTTCTGGCACTGCCCTGGCCATTCTCTGTCCTTTCCCTTGCCTTGGCATCACCCTGGCCCTGCTCTGCCTGCCTTGTCTCTGTATAGGCCACACCCTAGGTTTGACCCTGCCCTGGCTGTCACCCTAGACTTGTTGGGTCCTGTCTTGGACCTGGCCATAGCACAGACCCAGCAATTTGGGAAACTGAGGCAGGTGGATCACCTGAGCTCAGGAGTTCAAGACCAGCCTGACAACATGGTGAAACTCTGTCTTTACGGAAAATGTAAAACTTAGCTGGGTGTGGTGGCAGGCACCTGTAATCCCAGCTACTCAGGAGGCTAGCACAAGAAAATTGCTTGAAGCCGGGAGGCAGAGGTTGCAGTGAGCTGAGATTATGCCACTGCACTCCAGCCTTGGCAGTAAGAGTAAGACTCCATCTTTTACAAAAAAAAAAGTTTTAATGTGCAAAATAATTCCAAATTTCTAAAGTTGAGTGTTCTGAGCACTAAGCTTTGATTCCTGAGAAACGTACTTACCAGAACATTCTTCAGTGATGCCCAAAAAGTGAGGTGTGTCTGCTCTGCAGAGATGAGTCAGGAGTAGTGAAGAAGCAGGTGGCTTGTCAACTCTGCCCACCAGAAACGACGCTCAGCAGGGTTTAGCAACAGTAGTCTCCCCTGTGAACCCACAAGGTAAAGTCTAGGAGGAAACCAGAATGGAGTTAGCCAAGTTACAAAAGAACGGCTGAGGCTGGGCGGCCCCATGGGAAGGAAAATGCCAGAAACATAGAAGCTCTGGTCACAGTGTTCTCATGAGGATTTTTATAAAAAGAAACTTTGGCAGCCATCCCAGAGCAACCTCAAGAGGAGATATTGGGTCACAGAGCTGCCTGGCAGTTTTGGAGTTATGCACAGACCTGGAGAAGCTGAAGTCCAGGGGGCCACCTGCATCTGCATGTCAGTAATCAAGTGTATCACTTATTCTCCTCTCCCTCCAAACTGTCACTGCAAGATCCCACTATGCCACTTACTAGCTGTGTGACCTTAGGCAAGTTACTAAACATTTCTGAGCCTCAGTAAATGGTAGCTAATATTGTTTATTGTTAATAAAAGTGGTTAAATCTTTACAGGGTCATGCACAATCATAAGCAGGTAGCACTGGGAGAGGCAAACATTTCTTATGACATGTTAGATGGTAAATTTTAGATACCATAAGCCAAACAGCATTATATATGTATATATTCATACATACATAGCTACAGGCACTCAGACAGTGGCTCTCTCAACAATGGCAATGCCTTTCTGACCAAGACTGGATTGATCAGTGGTTCTTATGCCACATTTTCATGTGAAGTGTTAAAGGCTGCTGTATTCTCTGTCCTGTTATTACACAACATTGAGTGGGCCCACTCTGGCCACACTCCTGGAACCTCACCACCAGAACCAGGAAGTAAGAGGTCAGGGTCCTCTCCTTCCCTGAAGTTCTAGCTGCAGCCCCAACTCTGGGTTCACCCTGGAGCCCTGTGTTGGTGCATTCCTAGGTCAGGGAAGGCTACACTCTGCCCCCCACATGACACCTGGGGATACTGAGATAAACCAGATGTGTCAGTGGCTAGAGAGAAGGGCAGCAGCTAGTGTGGCCACTTGCTGGGGCCTCCACTGCTTCCCTTGGTTGGTGTGGAGAGAATAATAGAAAAATAAGAAACAGAACAGACTAATTATGGGTAATGCAACTAAAGTAGTAATAAAAAGTCTCCCATCAAAGAAAAGCACAAGAATCATGGTTTTACTACTGAATTCAATGAAACATTTTAAAAGAGCTAATACCAAATATACTCAAAATATTCCCCCAAAAATAAAGAGGAAGGAACACTTCCAAACTTGTCCTATGAGGCCAGCCCTGGTACAAAAACCAGACCAAAACACAACAAAAAAAGCAAACCACAGGCAAATATCCCTGATAAACACAGATGCAAAAATCCTCAACCAACTATTTGAACACCGCATTTGACAAGACAATAAGCAGATCATCTGCCACGATTTAGAGGGATTCATCTGAGAAATATGAGGGCAATTCAATAAACCCAAATAAGTAAATGTGCCACACCACATTCAGCAAATCAAGAAAAAATATATCATCATTTCAGTAATGCTGAAAAAAATAAAATTCAACGTTCCTTCGTAATTCAAGAAAGCTGTTTCATTATTTCTACCACCCAAAAAAGATACCTAAACACAACAAAAAATTTGGAAGATCCCACAATGAAAATGATAAAAGAGACAAGATATCAAAACAGACACGTTGGAAAGATCGCCCATGTCCAAGCACTAGAACATTAAAATATCTATCACCCAATGTGATCTGCAGAATCAATGCAATTCATGTGAAATTACAAAAGACATTCTTCATGGAAACAGAAAAAAAATCCTAAAATCACATAGAAATGCAAAATATCTCAGATAGATAAAAGAATCATGAACAAAAAGAAAAAAACTGGAAACATCACAATACCTGATTTTAAAATGTATTATAAATCTTTAGTAACAAAAACAGCATGGTACTGGCCATAAAAGTGGCAAGGGAGAGACAGACAGACACACAGACATAGAGAACTCAGAAATAAATTCATGCATTTAAAGTCAACTCATTTTTAGCAAAGGCACCAAAAACACACCTTTGGAACAGACAGTCTCTTCAATAAACTGTGCTAGGACAACACAACACATACATAATAAACGGTCAAGAATAAATCTAGACCGTTATCTTACCAAATACAAAAATCTACTCAAAATAAAGATTTAAATGTAGGACCTGCGACTATGAAACTACTAGAGAAGAAAACAGTATAAATCCTTCATGAAATTGGTTAGGACAAGGGATTTTCAATACACATCAAAAGCCACAGCAACAAAAGCAAAAAGCGTCAAATGCAATTGCATTAAACACAGAAGCTTCTGCAAAGTAGAGGAAGCAATCAGAATGAAGAAAATCAGAATATGGAAGAATTTGCAAACTATGCCATCAGGCAAGCAGCTAATACAGAAAACATATAAAGAATTCAAACTTCTCCAAAGCAAAAAATACAAATAACCTTATTTAAAAATCAGAAAAAGATCTACCCAAACCCTCTGTCCGTCCCCCAGCATTATTTTTCCATCTTCTTTTCCCAACAGCCTTTGGCCCTTCCCTCTCGCCAGCCTTTTTCTTTCTCCATCTACCCCAAAGCTTTTTCCACATTTTCCCCCACTGTCATTTCACAAAGACTTCTCTACTCTCTTGCTCACTACAGTTTTCCCCACTCATCTACCCCAAAACTTTTATACACCGTTTTCCCCCACTGTATTTTCTTCCTCTTTCCTACCCTCTTTTCCTGCCTCACTCTCATCCCGTTTGCTCCTCTATCTACACAAAAATATTTTCCCCATTTTACCAAAGCCTTCTCACCACTCCTGCTCAGCACCCTCTTTTCCCCCTTCATCTCCCCAAAACTGTTTGCCCCATCATCTTTTTCCCTTTCCTTCTTGCCACCCTCTTTCCCTTCTCCATCTATCCCAAAACATTTCCTCACCATCTTTTTTGCAAAGCCTTCCCCACTTCCCACTCACCCTCTTCTTCCCTTATCCTGCTTGCCACGTCTTTGCCCTCTACGCTATTTTTCCCATCTTCTTTTTCCCATCCCTCTTTCTGCACTCCCTCTGGCACCCCCTCTTTTCTCTTCCACTTGCCACCCTCTTCCCCCTCCATCTATCCACTTTATCCACTGTCTTTTCTTTCTGCAGTCTTTCTTTCCTGCCCATCGTCTATTTGCAAAACCTTTTCTCCTCCCACTCGCCACCCTCTTTTCTCTCTTCATCTACGTAAAAAATTTTCTCCCCTTCTTTTCGCAAAACCTTCTCTCCTCCTGCTTGCCCACTTTCTCTTCCCCTCCCTCTTTGCATCACCTTTCCTTCTCCCACTTGTCCCCCTCTTCCCTTCTGCATCTGCCCAAAATCTTTTTACGCACTGTCTTCTTTCCTCCCGTATTTTTTCAGACCTTCTCTCCCTCCTGCTCACCCCCTGGTTCTCCCCTCACCATCCTCTCATTCCTCCTGTCACTTGCCACTCTCTTTTCCCCTTCCATCTACCCAAAAACGTTTCCCCACCATCTTTTCACAAAAGCTTCTCTCCCTCTTCCTCGCCCCCTGCTTCCCCTCACCATCCTCTCATTCTCTCCTCTCACTTGCCACTCCATTTTCCCCTTCCATCTACCCCAAAATAGTTTTCCCACCATCTTTTCCTCACCGTCTTTTTTCAACATCTTATCCTGTTCGCCATCCTCTTTGTCCCTTCGGCAATAACCACCCTCCTTAGCCCTCCCACCTCACCCCAAACTCGTTTCCCCTCCTACCGCTCCAGGGGCATGCGTCCGTGGCTACCGCCAACCACAGTGAGGTGAGCTGCAGCAAGGCGAACCGAACCGCAGTACTGCAAACTCCAGCTTCCAGCAGGCGGCAGCTGGCTCTCCCGTCTTCTACTCCTCTAAGCCCAGCACCGAGGAGCACAGCCGACACACAGAAAAGCCTAGAATGGAGTGCCTGCCCAACAGAGCCATTTATATACTGAGGTTATGCACAGAGGTTCCTGAACTACACAGTCTCATTGGATGAAAACAAGTCTGAGGCCAGCCAATCAGAGCATGAAAATAAAACCCAATCAGAGTAGGCCTAAAGGTTTCCTCTCATCCAATCAGAACATGTAGTCCAGGAACCATGGGCAAAACCTCAGTATATAAGGCATTCTGAGGCCGCCTCACGCTGTTCCAGGCTCTTGTGTATCTTCTAGCGGAGACACTGTGTTCACGGCTTAGAGGACCAGGAGAAGGGGCGGCAGAGCCACCTACTGCACGCTGGAGGCTGCAGCCTGCTGTACCGCGGCTGGCCTCGCTGCAGTGGGTGGTGGTGACGGAAACTGCAGCGGCTGGAGCGGTAGGAGGGCGTAGGGGAGCAGGCTGGAGTGGTAGGAGGGCGGCCAGAGCGGTAGGGGAGGGGCTGGAGCGGTAGGAGAGCGGCCGGAGTGTTAGGGGGAGCGGGGGAGCAGTAGGAGGGCGGCCGGAGCGTTAGGAGGGCAGTTGGAGTTGTAGCAGAGCGGGATGGAGCGGTAGGAGTGCAGCCGGAGTGGTAGGGGAGCGGGCTGGAGCGGTAGGAAGGCAGCCGGCCGGAGTGATAGGAGGGTGGCTGGAGTCAAAGGGGAGAGACCTGGAGCGGTAGGAGGGTGGCCGGAGCGGTAGGGGAGCGGGTTGGAGCGGTAGGAGGGCGGTTGGAGCGGTAGGGGGCGGCTGGAGCAGTAGGGGAGCAGGTTGGCGTGGTAGGAGTGCAGCCGGAGCGGTAGGGGAGCGAGCTGGAGGGGTAGGAGGGTGGCCGGAGTGGTAGGAGGGTGGCCGGCGTCATAGGGGAGCAGGCTGGAGTGGCAGGAGGGAGGTCAGAGTCATAGGGGAGCGGACTGGAGCAGTAGGAAGGAGGCCGGAGTGGTAGGGGAACGGCTAGAGCAGGAGGAGGGTGGCAGGAGTCGTAGGGGAGCTGCCTGGAGCGGTAGGAGGGCAGCCGGAGTTCTAAAGTAGCGGGCTAGAGGTAGGAGGGCGGCCAGAGTCATCGGGGAGAGGGCTGGAGCGGCAGGAGGGCGACTGGAGTCATAGGCGAGCGGATTGGAGCGGTAGGAGGGCAGCTGGAGAGGTAGGAGGGCGGTCGGAGTCATAGGCAAGCTGGCTGGAGCGGTAGGAGGGCGGCTGGAGAGGTAGGAGGGCGGCCGGAGTCATAGGTGAGCGGGCTGGAGCGGTAGGAGGGCGGCTGGGGTGGAGTCATAGGCGAGCAGGCTGGAGCGGTAGGAGGGCGGCTGGAGCGGTAGGAGGGCGGCTGGAGAGGTAGGAGGGCGGCCGGAGTCATAGGCGAGCGGGCTGGAGCGGTAGGTAGGAGGGCGGCTGGAGTCATAGGCGAGCGGGCTGGAGCGGTAGGAGGGTGGCTGGAGAGGTAGGAGGGCAGCCGGAGTCATAGGCAAGCTGGCTGGACCAGTAGGAGGGCGGCTGGAGAGGTAGGAGGGCGGCCGGAGTCATAGGCGAGCGGGCTGGAGCGGTAGGAGGGCGGCTGGAGTCATAGGCGAGCGGGCTGGAGTGGTAGGAGGGCGGCCGGAGCGGTAGGAGGGCGGCCAGAGCGGTAGGAGGGCGGCTGGAGCGGTAGGGAGCGGGCTGGAGTGGTAGGGGAGCGGGCTGGAGCGGTAGGAGGGCGGCCGGAGCGGTAGGGGAGCGGCCGGAGCGGTAGGAGGGCGCTCAGAGAGGTAGGGGAGCGGGCTGGAGCAGTAGGATGGCAGCCTGAGTGGTAGGAGGGCGGCTGGAGCGGTAGGAGGGCGGCCGGAGTCATAGGCAAGCTGGCTGGAGCGGTAGGAGGGCGGCTGGAGAGGTAGGAGGGCGGCGGGAGTCATAGGTGAGCGGGCTGGAGCGGTAGGAGAGGCAGCTGGAGTCATAGGCGAGTGGGCTGGAGTGGCAGGAGGGCGGCTGGAGTCATAGGCGAGCAGGCTGGAGCGGTAGGAGGGCGGCTGGAGAGGTAGGAGGGCGGCCGGAGTCAAGGCGAGCGGGCTGGAGCGGTAGTAGGAGGGGGCGGTGGAGTCATAGGCGAGCGGGCTGGAGCTGTAGGAGGGCGGCTGGAGTCATACGCGAGCGGGCTGGAGCGGTAGGAGGGCGGCTGGAGAGGTAGGAGGGCGGCCGGAGTCATAGGCGAGCGGGCTGGAGCGGTAGGAGGAGGGGCGGCTGGAGTCATAGGCGAGCGGGCTGGAGCTGTAGGAGGGCGGCTGGAGTCATACGCGAGCGGGCTGGAGCGGTAGGAGGGCGGCTGGAGAGGTAGGAGGGCGGCCGGAGTCATAGGCGAGCGGGCTGGAGCGGTAGGAGGGCGGCTGGAGTCATAGGCGAGGGGGGAGCTGTAGGAGGGCGGCTGGAGTCATATGCGAGCGGGCTGGAGCGGTGGTAGGAGGGTGGCCGGAGCGGTAGGAGGGCGGCTGGAGCGGTAGGGGAGCGGGCTGGAGTGGTAGGGGAGCGGGCTGGAGCGGTAGGATGGCAGCCTGAGTGGTAGGAGGGCGGTCGGAGTGGTAGGAGGGCGGCTGGAGCGGTAGGGGAGCGGCTGGAGAGGTAGGAGGGCGGCTGGAGTCATAGGCAAGCTGGCTGGAGCGGTAGGAGGGCTGCTGGAGCGGGGAGGGCAGGGCAGCTGGAGTCATAGGCGAGCGGGCTGGAGCGGTAGGAGGGCGGTCGGAGTGGTAGGAGGGCGGCTGGAGCGGTAGGGGAGCGGGCTGGAGGGGTAGGAGGGCAGTCGGAGAGGTAGGGGAGCGGGCTGGAGCGGTAGGAGGGCGGCTGGAGAGGTAGGATGGCGGCCGGAGTCATACGCGAGCGGGCTGGAGCGGTAGGAGGGCGGGCAGAGCGGTAGGAGGGCGGCTGGAGCGGTAGGGGAGCTGGCTGGAGTGGTAGGAGGGCGGCTGGAGCGGTAGGGGAGCTGGCTGGAGTGGTAGGAGGGCGGCTGGAGCGGTAGGGGAGCGGGCTGGAGTGGTAGGAGGGGGCTGGGGCTGGAGCGGTAGGGGAGCGTGCTGGAGCTGTAGGAGGGTGGCCAGAGCGGTAGGGGAGCGGGCTGGAGTGGTAGGAGGGCGGCCGGAGCGGTAGGGGAGCGTGCTGGAGCTGTAGGAGGGTGGCCAGAGCGGTAGGGGAGCTGCTGGAGTGGTAGGAGTGCAGCTAGAGCTGCAGGGAAGCGGGCTGGAGCAGTAGGAGGGCGGCAGGAGCGGTAGGGGAGCAAGCTGGAGTCGTAGGGGAGCGGGCTGGAGCGGTAGGAGGGTGGCCGGAGTCGTAGGGGAGTGAGCTGGAGCCTTAGGAGAGCGGCGGAGTCATAGGGGAGCGGGCTGGAGCGGTGGAAGGTGGCCGGAGTTGTAGGGGAGCGGGCTGGAGCGGTAGGAGGGCGGCGGAGTCGTAGGGGAGCGGGCTGGAGCGGTGGGAGGGCGGCCGGAGTCGTAGGGGAGCGGGCTGGAGCGGTGGGAGGGCGGCGGAGTCGTAGGGGAGCGGGCTGGAGCGGTAGGGGGCGGCGGAGTCGTAGGGGAGCGGGCTGGAGCGGTGGGAGGGTCGCCAGAGCGGTAGGGGAGCGGGCTGGAGCGGTGGGAGGGTCGCTGGAGTGGTAGGGAGAGGGGCTGGAGCAGTAGGAGGGCGGTTGAAGCAGTAGGAGGGCGGTTGGAGCGGTAGGGGTGCAGGTTGGCACGGTAGGAGTGCAGCTGGAGCGGTAGGGGAGTGGGCTGGAGCGGTAGGAGGGCGGCCGGAGTCGTAGGGGAGCGGTCTGGAGCGGTAGGTAGGAGGGTGGAGGGAGAGGTAGGGGAGCGGGCTGGAGGGTTAGGAGGGCGGCCGGAGTGGTAGGAGGGCGGCCGGAGTCATAGGGGAGCAGGCTGGAGTGGTAGAAGGGAGGCCAGAGTCAGACGGGAGTGGGCTGGAGGGGTAGGAGAGTGGTTGGAGTCATAGGGGAGCGGGCTGGAGGGATAGGAGGGTGGCCGGAGTCTTAGGGGAGTGGGTTGGATCAGTAGGAGGGCGACCGGAGGGGTTGGGGAGCGGGCTGGAGCGGTAGGAGGGTGGCCGGAGGGTAGGAAGACAGCTGGAGTGGTAGGAAAGCGGGCTGGAGTGGTAGGAGGGCGACCTGAGTGGTGGGCGAGCAGGCTGGAGCGATAGCTCGAAGGTGCAGGGTTTTCAGAACAGGATTTCTGGGAGCAGCCCCTCGATGATTACGGGGCAGGGGTTACTCTTATCACTTGTAGGGCACTTGGACCGGGTACCTGATGCCCAAGGCTTCCCCTGTGGGTGAGAGGCAGGGTCCTGCTGGTCGGCAGTGAGAGCCAGTGTGGGGCGTGTGTACATGGGATTTCACGCATGTGATGGAAAGGCATCCATGCAGAAGAGTGAACGATGTGAAAGTGTTGTAGCACCGTGGAAACGTATAGGCATTACAATCTGAGCTATTTGATCAGAAAATAAAAACAATAGGCCAGCAGGGTGACTCATGCCTGTAATCCCAGCATTTTGGGAGGCCAAGGCGGGAGGACCACTTGAGTCTAAGAGTTTGAGTTCAGCCTGGGAGACATAGCAAGACCCTGTCTCTCCTAAGAATTTCTTTTAAAAAGCTGGGCATGGTGGTGCATGCCTGTGGTTCCAGCCACTTGGGAGGCTGAGGATTGCTTGAGCCCAGGAGTTTGATGCTATAGTGAACCATGATCACACCACTGCACTCGAGCATGGGTGACAGAGAGACTATCTGAAAGGAAAAAAAAGAAAGAAGAGCCACACCAACATGCTACCATGTCCTATGCTCCTCTTTTTTTTTTTTTTTTTTTTTTTTAAAGACAATTTCACTATGTTGCCCAGGCTAAAGTGCAGTAGGGCGATCTCAACTCACTGCAACCTCTGCCTACCAGGTTCAAACGATTTTCCTGCCTCAGCCTCCTGAGTAGCTGGGATTACAGGTGGCCACCACGACACTCAGCTAATTTTTTGTATTTTTAGTAAAGAGGGAGTTTCATTAAGTTGACCAGGCTGGTCTTGAACTCCTGATCTCATGATCTGCCCACCTCAGCCTCCAAAAGTGCTGGGATTGTAGGTGTGAGCCACCAAGCCAGGCTTTTTTTTTTTTTTTTTTTGGATAGTTTCACTTCTGTTGCTCAGGCTGGAGTGCAATGGTGTGATCTCAGTTCACTGCAACCTCTACTTCCCAGGCTCAAGCAATTCTCCTGCCTCACCCTCCTGAGTATCTGGGACCACAGGAGTGCACCACCGCACCTGGCTAATATATTTGTATTTTTGGTTGAGACGGGGTTTTGCCATGTTGCCCAGGTGCAAGGCTCATGAGTACAGTTCCTGTTTCATTCACCGCAGTATCCCCAGTGCCTGAGACATGCCTGGCATTTGGTAAATCCTCAAGAAATATGTGTAAGGGAGTGAATAGTTTCGGCTGGAAGTGGGAAGCCTCCCACTTCGCTGTCCACAGTGTCTGCGTGTCCCTCCCCCGGGGGTGTTCCACTGCTCACTGTATTTCCTATTGAAAATGTCCTGGACCTGCTCCCTCAGTGTGTGGGTGATGTGGATCTGGGAGAGCCTCATGTTGTAACTTTCTGCAAAGCATAAAACAACTATGGGTTTGGGCTGTTCAGTGAAAAGGCACTTAGGGAATTTTAAAGAATATGATTTTCTAATTATGGGAAACTCCTTCTCTGGCAATTAATGGATCTTTAGAGTGGGCCCCTCAGGTCCTTCAGCACCAAGGTGTTGATGGAGACATGTTTTTTCCAGAAGGACATGCACTGTCGTCACAACGGTGATGAGCTGGAAATTAATTGCTGACATTTGAAAACCACCAAACCAATACATAAGTCCCAGAGGTGAGGGACACTGGAGAGTGGATTCTTGTGCCCCAGGCTGGTGGGTAGGGAATGGGGGCTTTATGAAGTCCCTAGAGAGCTGGAGAAAAGGGAAGAACACAAGCTCAGCTAACTCAGCAGGTGGTGGGGGACAGGCAGTCCCCACAGACACGGGGTGGGCCTGGCAGCTCCCAGTGGGCACTCACTCACCCAGAGGGTGTTCATTAAAGACCACCAAGTATGGCCAGGAACAGTGGCCTATGCCTGTAATCCCAGCGCTTGGGGAGGCCACGGTAGGAGGATCACCTGAGGTCAGGAGTTGGAGACCAGCCTGGCCAACGTGGTGAAACTAGAAATACAAAAATGAGCTGGGCATGGTGCTGTGAACCTGTAATCCCAGCTACTAGGGAGGCTGAGGCAAGACAATTGCTTGAACCTAGGAGGTGGAGGGTGTAGTGAGCCAGGATCATACCCCACATGCCAGCCTGGGCAACAGAGTGAGACTCTATCTCAGGAAAAACAAAAACAAAAGCTGGGCACAGTGGCTCACACCTGTAATTTCAGCACTTTGGGAGGTGGATCATCTCAAGTCAGGAGTTCAAGACCAACCTGTCCAGCATGGTGAAACCCTGGCTCTACTAAAAAAATATAAAAAATTATCCGGGCTTGGTGGTTCACACCTGTAATTTCAGCACTTTGACAGGCTGAGGCAGCAGGATCACGAGGTCAGGAGTTCGAGACCAGTCTGACCAACATGGTGAAACCCTGTCTCTACAAGAGTACAAAAATTAGCCGGGGGTGGTGGTGGGTACCTGTAATCCCAACTACTCAGGAGGCTGAAGCAGGAGAGTTGCTTGAATGCTTGAACCTAGAAGGCAGAGGTTGCAATGAGCGGAGATTTTGCCTCCAAACTCCAGCCTGGTCAACAAGAGTGAAACTCTGTCTCAAAATAAGGCAAGTGCCAGCATGTACTGGGGGATCCCGGACCGCCATGAGCCCCTGACTGCAGGGCAGGGAGAAAGGAGGGGAGGAGGGAGTGACTCTGGGCACTTGGGCCAGGCTTGTAGTGAGGGTCTCAGTCTGCTAAGGGGGCGGGGTATGAGGAGCTGTGGTGAGGAGAGTCATGAACTCCCCCAGTCATGGAATGTCCCAGAACAGCTGTGCAGAAAAGAGTATGAGAGACCAGAGGCAGAAAGCAGCTGCTCTCTGGGCCTTGGGCCCCTCTCTCTGGGCTCCCCCACCCCCAGTGACTCTTCCACCACCAGTCTTGTCAACCCCTTTCTCCTCAGTACTAGAGGGTGGCCACACAGTCACCGTCTACTACTCACTTGCAGCCACACCCTGGCTCCTCAGAGCAGCCCCAACATGGGGGTCCACAGGGCATCACCTGTCTCCCAGCTCAGACCCTGGCACCTTCCTGCTGCTCGATCTCTTCTTGCCTTTCCTCAAGTGTCTCCCTGCTTCCACTCCTCTCCTTCCTTGCTTACTTCCACCTCCTGCCTCCCAGCCCAGCCCCAACCTTTTCCACCTGACCTTAGTGACACACCCCTCCCTCCCTCCTTTCCTTCCTTTCTTCTGTGCCTCCCTTCCACTATTTCTCTCTCTCTTTCTTTCCTTATTTTTCCTTTCTTCATTCATTCCTTTTTCTTTCTTTTTTTCTTCCTCCTTCCCTTCCCCTTCCACTTCCCCTTCCACTTCCCCTTCTCCTTTCTTCCTTCTTTCTTTCCTTCCCTCCTTCCTTTTTCCTTCCTCCCTCCCTTCCTTTCCCACTTCTTTCTTTCTCTTTACTTCCTTTCTTCCTTTTTCTTTTTCTTTTTTTCTTCTTCTTTCTCTTTCTTTCTTCCTCCCTTCCCTTTGCACTTACACTTCCCGTTCTCCTTCCTGCCCTCCTTCTTCCTTTCCTCCCTTCCTTCCTTTCCTACTGAGGAGTCTCTACGTGTTGTCAGAGACATCTCCTCTTCATCAACTCCCTGTGACCCCTGTTTCTCAGACTTGGAGGGAAATAAGGGCACACAAATTGTGACCATGGAGTGGGGCAAGGCTGCTAGGAAGAACAGGGAGTGTCTGAGGTAGTGATTCTCCTACCTCAGCCTCCCAAGTAGCTGGGATTACAGGTGTGTGCCACCACAGGCAGCTAATTTTTGTATTTTTTTTCAGTAGAGATGGATTTTACCATGTTGGCCAGGCTGATCTCTTGAACTCCTGAGCTCAGGTGATCTGCCCACCTCAGCCTGCCAGAGTGCTGGGATTATAGGCATAAGCCACTGCGCCCAGCCTAATTTTAAAATTTTTAACTTTTTTTTTTTTTTTAGACAGAATTTTGCTCTTGCCACCCAGGCTGAAGTGCAGTGGCACTCGGCTCAGTGCAACCTCTGCCCCAGATTCAAGCAATTCTCCTGCCTCAGTCTCCACAGTAGCTGGAACTACCGCCTCCCAGATTCAAGCAATTCTCCTGCCTCAGTCTCTGCAGTAGCTGGAACTACAGGTATGCCACACCCAGCTAATTTTTGTATTTTTTAGTAGAGACAGGGTATTACCATGTGGCCAGGATGTTCTCAATCTCCTGATCTTGTGGTCCACCCATGTTGACCTCCCAAACTGCTGGCATTACAGGCGTGAGCAACCACACCTGGCCAAATTTTCTCTGTTTAATTGTCTTTAGAGACGAGCTCTTGCTCTGTCACCTAGGCTGGAGCGCAGTGGCTCAGTAATAGTTCACTGCAGCCTTAAACTCCTGGACTCAAATGATCTTCCCACCTCAGCTTTCTGAGTAGGTAAGACCGCAGGTGTGCACCACACCCTGCAAAGATTTTACATTTTTTTGTAGTAACGGGTTTTCACTATGTGGCACGGTCTGGTTGAACTCCCAGCCTCAAGTGATCCTACCATCTTGGCCTTCCGAAGTGCTGGAATTACAGGCTTGAGCCACCGTACCTGGCCTTGAGTACAGAATTTCCTTAGGGGGTGACGAAAATGCTCTAAAATCGGTGATGGGTGTGCACTAAAGTGTGAGTGATATCTCAGCAAAGTTGGTTTATTTAAAACAGCAACAGGCTGGATGAAGTTGCTCATGCCTGTAATCCCAGCACTTTGGGAGGCCAAGGTGGGTGGATCATCTGAGGTCAGGAGCTTGAGACCAGCCTGGCCAACATGATGAACCCCTGTTTCTGTTAAAAGTACGAACAATTAGTAACTTGAATGAGGGGCAGGGTATCCCACCTGCTCTGAGCAGCTCTTTATGAGCCCCAGCTATTTCTGGGGTCCTCAAATGAAACCTCCCAAGTCATACCCAAGTCATTCCCAACATGGGCCTCCTCCCCTTTTCTAGCCCCCTGCTGGGAGATGCTGAGTGACAGAGGCTCAGGCTTTGGGTATTCCTGGCAAAGCCTCACCCCAGGAGCCCCACAGCTCAGGCCCAGTCCATGGTTCACATGGCCCCATTTCGTCCTCTTTTTCCTTTGAGAGCAATTTGTCCCTGAGAGATCCCTGGATCCCTCATTCAGGTGCAGTGCTGTAGGGCAACACTTCTTCCCGGGGTGACCCAGGCCTGCAGTGTCCCAGTGTCACTGGCAGGCCTTGACCTGGCCTCCACCTGAGTCCCTGCTCCTCCTCTCCCACAGGGAACATGACATCCTCTTCCCAGGGTACACCCACCTGCAGAGGGCCCAACCCCATCACTGGAGCCACTGGATTCTGAGGTGAGCTGGGTGAGTTGCTGGGGCTGTACTGGATGGGAGGACCCTGGCTGCCCTGACTCTCCTGCCCTGGCTTTCCACAATGGTGCATGGTGCTGACCCTAGATTCTGAGCAGCTGCTGGAGGTGCAAAAGCTGATTGCTGTCCTGCCCCTGGGGAGGTGGGATGAAACTCCAGTGCCCTAAGGGCCTGGTGAGGGTGGCTGCTGCATAGCCTAGGGATTCACACATGAGCTGGGAAGGGCAGAAAGGGTTAGAAAATCAGGTTATCTGCTCAGAGGGGGACCCTGCATGGATCCCCAGGTCTTGCTAAGGTGGGGACATCCAAGCCAGTGAATGTGTCTGAGCAGGGCTGGCCTCCTCAGGCTCCTAGTGAGTCCAGCCCACTGCCCTCAGGCTGACATATGGGGACATGTGTCAGGAGACAAGGGTTCTGCACCCAAGGTTACTCGGTGCTTGGGGATAAGTGTTCAGGAGACATGAGGGGACAAGTGTTGTGGACCCAAGGTGACTGGGCCAGGGAAGAGGTTGAGCTCCAGGTGGTTGCCCTGGCAACTAGGACTTCATTCTGTGTGTGTGTGTGTGTGTGTGTGTGTGTGTGTGTCTTTCTGTCTGTCTGTCAGGGTTGCCTGCCAGGAGCCCTGGTCACCATGAATCCCTGTCCCTGAAGCAGGGCCATTTTGGGCAATTGCCTGGGTATAGACAGAGAGCTGCTCTGAGCAGGTGAGATACCCTGTCCCTCCTCCCTAGGAGAGTCACCCTCAGCACTCGCCAGGAGATGCAGACACACCAGAAGGCAGGAGCTAGTGGCCCCTGGTGAAACCATCATTCATTGCCTATGGGCACTGAGCTTATCTAGGCCAAGGGTCACCCATGGCAGGGGGCGCCTGGTACTGAGAGACTCAGGGCTCCTACCTCCCTCCTAGACTGGAAAAGATGCCTTTCCCCAGCTCCCACCCCACCCACCCTAATCCTCTTCCCTGATCCTTTTTCCAGGGGGAGGGGGCCAGGCAACCAGCTTAGGGGAGAGGAGGCCACACTCCCTGTTCTCCAGCCCAGCCCTGCTTCCTCCCAACCCCCAGAACTCAACTTTGGTGCCATCACTCTTCACAGCCTGGATGCCACCAGTGAGCATGACTTCATGGGTGAAGTGACTTTGGGGAGCCAGTCCCCTGCCGGTGCCTCACTTCTGTCCCTCCGCCCAGCTTCTCTCCAGTCTTCTCCTACTCCTGTATGGTCAGACTGATTGTACACTAAAGTGTAAACTTTAAATGAGTAAATTGGGCAGGGCACGGTGGCTCACGCCTGTAATCCCAGCACTGGCCAATTTGGTGAAACCCCATTTCTACTAAGAATACAAAATTTAACCAGGTGTGATGGTGAGCACCTGTAGCTACTTGGAGAGCTGAGGCAGGAGAATCGCTTGACCCAGGAGTCCAAGGCTGCAGTGAGCTGAGATCACACCAGTACACTTTAGCCTGGGCAACAAGAGTGAAACGTTAGCTCAAAAATTAAAATAAAATAAAAATAAATAAATGGAAGATTTTATGTGAACAATACCTCAGTAAAGCTGGTTTATCTTATTTTTTGTTTGTTGTTTTGCTCTGTTGCCAGACTTGAGTGCAATGGCACGATCTCAGCTCACTGCAACCTTCACCTCCGAGGTTCCAGTAATTCTCCTGGCTCAGCCTCCCAAGTAGCTGGGATTACAGGTGCGTGCCACCACACCCGGGTAATATTTTTGTATTTTTAGTAGAGAAAGGGTTTCACCGTTTTGGCCAAGATGGTCTGGATCTCCTGACCTCATGATCTGCCCACCTTGGCCTCCCAAAGTGCTGGGATTACAGGAGTGAGCCACCACACCCAGCCAAAGCTGGTTTATTTAAAACAACAAGAATAACAAAAAACAGGCTAAATGCAGTGGCTCACATTTGTAATTCCAGCACTTTGGGAGGTCAAGGCAGGAAGATTACTTGAGCCCAGGTGTTTTAGACCAGCATGGGCAACATAGCAAGACTCCATCTTACTCAGAATGAAAATTTAGGTCAGGCACAGTGGCTCACACCTCTAATCAAGAACTTTGGGAGACCCAGCCAGGTGGATCACGAGGTCAAGAGATCAAGACTACCCTGGCCAACATGGTGAAATCCATCTTTAACAAAAATAGAAAAATTAGCTGGCCATGGTGCCAGCTATTCAGAAGGCTAAAGCAGGAGAATTGCTAGAACCTAGGAGGTGGAGTCTGCAGTGAGCCAAGATCTCACCACTGCACTCCAGCCTGGCAACAGAACAGACCCTGTCTGGAAAAAAATGAAAATGTAGCCAGGTCCCCCCTACCGCCTAATGTCCTCTTTCTCCCTGTATGGTCAGGCTGGGTGAGTACCAGAGAGGCTTGGTGACTGGGAATCTTTTCTTTCTCCCAGCTGAGTTCCTGTTCTAGGCTTCATTCTGCATGACCCATCTCAGCAGGATGGCCAGGGACCTCATCCTCTGTGGCACCAAGGAATTCAGCTTCATGTAGCTCTCAGATGCCTACAGGTAAGCCCTGAACTGCCACTTCCACCTGCCCCTCCCAGCCTCTGCATTCTCCACACCCCTTAGGCATGGCTTCCTTCCTCCCGCCCTCTGCCAGACCTGGCCAGTCAGCTGCTGGACAAGACAAGGGCCTAGCCCTTTCAGTGCCTGCATCTTTGTCTGCAGCACCAGAAGCAGCCTGATGCCCCAGAAGAAAAAACCCCGACAGCTTGGAGCTGATCTGGAGCAAAGCAAGGGTGTGTGTTTGGGCAGGTGAGCATGGCAGGGAGAAAGGAAGGGTGGATATGAGATCCCCAGCAGGGGCAGAATTCCTGGTCCAACCCCATGCCTCCCTCTTCTTGCAACATTCTGTGCTCCTGATGACCCTCAAGGAACTTGCCAGCACCTGCAACAAAGACCTACAGTTGTGAGGCTGGGGACAGTGGCTGTGGGAGGCCTGCCTGCCTACACACCATGTGCCAGTTCTCGGGGTTCTAGCATACCCAGGCAGGGACCCTCAAGATTGCTGTACCTACACCAATCCTGTGCACTCAGCCCCATCTGTGGCTGCTTTTGGAGCTCTCGGCCCTTCCTTTGGGTACTGAGTATTCTTCCCATGGAAGGCAGCAGGGATGCCTCAGTGTGGGGTGTGGCTGTGGGGACCCTGGGTGCCAAGGAGGAACATCTTCTGCCATGTTCCTCCCAGGAGGACAGGAAAGCTTTGTTGAAGTGTCAGACACCATGAGTGCTGTGCTTCAGGTGGCCACTGGCATCATCTCTACACTGCAGGCAAGCCCACCCCCACCTGCCTCTCCTCCCCTAGATCCCAGGCACTGGGGTGGCTTGCCAGGAGAGTGGCCTTGGGCGGAGGAAAGGTGGGGCTGGAGGACCTGGGCAGGGGGAAGGAGTGGTGTGCTGGCTCCTGTTCCTGGGGAACAGGGAAGGGACAGAAGCTGCTGCCATGCAATGGAAGTAAATGAGACTCAAGGGACCTGGGGCCTGTCAACTGACCCAACCAGAACGCTTTTAAAAAAGAAAATTTATATAAAAGGTTGTCATGGTGGCTCACGCCTGGAATCTCACATTTTGGGAGGCTGAGGCAGGTGGAGCACTTGAGTTCAGGATTTTGAGACCAGCCTGGCCAACATGGTGTAATCATGTCTCTTAATAAAAATGCAAAAATTAGTTGGGTGTGGTGGTCCACACCTGCAATCCCAGCTACTTAGGAGGCTCAGGTAGGAGAATTGCTTGAACCTGGGAGATGTAGTGAGCCGAGATGATGCCACTGCATTACAGCCTGGATGACAGAGTGAAACTCCATCTTCAGATATGTAAATTAGTTAATAAATATCTTTTAAAAATTATTTTTTAGAGACAGGGTCTCTTTTTTTCACCCAGGCCAGAGTGCAATGGCACAGTCATAGCTCACTGCAGCCTCAAACTCCTGGGTTCAAATGGTCCTCCCACTTTAGCCTCCAAAGTAGCTGGGACTACAGGTGTGCACCACCACACCTGGCTAATTTTTTGAATTTTTTGTAGAGACAGGGTCTTCCTGTATGGCCCAGGCTGGTCTCAAACTCCTGGCCCCAGGCCATCCTTCCACTTTCATCTCCCAAAGTGCAGGAATTATAGGCATGAGCCACTTTGCCTGACTGATTTCTTTTAAAACCAATTATTATGGGAATTTCTGTCTATAACAGCTAGAGAATGCATAATGAACCTATGTACTGACACCCAGCTTCAACAATAATCAGCTCACGAACATTCTGGCTCCAGCTGTCTTTACACACTGCCCAACGCTGTGGGTATGGGGTAATCCCAGCAATTTCAGAGGCCAAGGCAGGTAGATCACTTAAGGTCAGGAGTTTGAGGCCAGCCTGACCAACATGGTAAAGCCCCATCTCTACTAAAATGCAAAAAAAATTATCTGGGCGTGGTGGTGCATGCCTGTAGTCCCAGCTACTTGGGAGGATTGAATCATTTGAGAATCACTTGAACCCAGGAGGTGGAAGTTGCCATGGGCCAAGATTGCACTATTGCACTCCAGCCTGGGCAATAAGAGCTAAACTCTGTCTTAATAATAATACTAAGGCTGGGCACAGTGTCTCATGCCTGTAATCCTAGCACTTTGGGAGGGCAAAGTCACACAGCTTGCGGTAGGACCTCCAGTCATTAAAGGTACCCAGTATAACAGAGACTACTGAGTTACTCACCGATGACCAGAAGTGAAATGTGGAGCCCAGACCTTCGAAAGGCTGGGATGGCACTTAAAGAAAAAAGGGGGCATGGCACGGTGGTTCGTACCTATAATCCCAGCACTTGGGGAGGCCAAGGTGGGTGGATCATGAGGTCAAGACATTGAGACCATCCTGGTCAACATGGTGAAACCCTGTCTCTACTAAAAATACAAAAAAATTAGCTGGGCATGGTGGCACACGCCTGTAGTCTCAGCTACTCAGGAGGCTGAGGCAGCAAAATTCCTTGAACCCAGAAGGCGGAGGTTGCAGTGAGCGGAGATCATGCCATTGCACTCCAGCCTGGGTAACAACAGGGAAACTCCGTCTCAAAAAAAAAAAAAAAAGAAAAAGAAAAAAGAGGGTAGCATATGCTATAGACTGAATGTCTGCCTCAAAGTTCATGTTGAATCCTAATCCCCGATGTAACGGTATCAGAGGTGAGGACTTTGTGAGGTGATTGCAGCTATTGAGGGAGGAGTCCTCATTAATCGGATTCGTGCCTGGTAAAAGAGGCCCCAGAGTGCTCTGTTACATCTTCTACCACCTGAGAACACAGCAAACAGGGCCCATCTAGGAATCAGGGCTTCCCCAGACAACAAACCTTCTCCTTCCTCCACCCTGACCTTGGGCTTTCAGCCTTCACAAATGTGAGAAATAAATTTCTGTGGTTTATAAGCCACCCAGTCTATGGTATTCTGTTATATCAGCCCAAACAGACTAGGATAGTACAGTAGCTTTCGAGGGCAACTGGAACAAGGGGAAGGAGGACTATTTGTTAAAGATGTCAGCAACTGGCTGGGTATGGTGACTCATGCCTATAATCCCAGCACTTTGAAAAGCCAGGGGAGCAGATCACCTGAGGTCAGGAGTTTGAGACCACCCTGACCAACATGGTGACAACAAAAAAATTAGCTGGTTGTGGTTGTGCACACCTGTAATCCTAGGCACTCGGGAGGCTGTGGTAGAAGAATCACTTGAACCTGGGAGGTGGAGGTTGAAGTGAGTGGAGGTGTTGCAGAGGCGAGATCGTGTACACTGCACTCCAACCTGGGTGATAGTGACTCCATCTCAAATAAAAAAGATGTCAGCAACTTAAGTATTTTTAACGGCTGGGCAGAGGGGACCAATGAAAAAGAGTAGGACATCGTGATCTGAGGGGAGGGTTTGGCTCAGGAAGGAGGAAGTACACCTCCTCCTTGGATACTGGAAGGAAGGTGTTGCTGATGAAAACTTCAAAGGAAGAAAAGGTCCATGGAGGATGCTTCATCACTGGGTTTAAGTTTTTTAACAAAATGGTGAGGAAGACATCTGCACATAATCTAAAAAATAATGAATGCAGCCATGGTACCTTAGGGCACTGGAAAAGGCAATGCACCTGACCTCTGGGGAAGCTGATCTGAGAGGCACGCGGGACGTCTTGGTGTGGGGAATCTGTGTGGAGATGCGTCTGGAGACAGTGAGTCATACTTCCTGACCTTATAACCATGCAGCTCAGCAGTCTCTGTGAGAGTCGGCTCCCTGCAATTTGTGTTCCAGGTACTGCTCTCGTTCGTTAAGACTTCTACAATGGGGAGGGTAAAAGAAATACATTTTAATTTGTAAGAAAATGAAGCATTCAAAATAAAATTACCTGCTCTATCCAGGGTATATTTGCTTTCCAGCCTATCTTAGCAGTTACAGAGGATAACTGCTAAGTACACTTGACTCGTTCATTTGAACATCATGTGAGCACAATTGACAACCCATCTTAAAAAAATCTTGAGAAAAAAGTATTTAATTTCTTGACTAAATTTAGCTTTTAGAAGGGATCAGTGATTCTGTTGATGGTGATTGAGACGGTTAATATGTAGATGTTCTTCTTGGCATGTGAGAGACATGTTTTTTAGTGGGAGCAGCAGGTGTGTGTGGAAGAAAACCTGGAGTCCCAGGCCACCACACTACTTGGGCTGGTAACATGTATTTTCAAGTTCTGCTCCACCAGGCTGAGTACCATGTGTTGATAACTGATATCTGTGCTTCTATCAAATTAAACCTGAAGTGCCTTTCTCTTTTCATTTCAAATAACTTTGCTCTTTCGTTGCTTATGCCATTTAAAGTGAGATTTGTACCAAAGTGTTAAAATGTATTTAGTGTATTCCTTAATAACATGAATGTATACATTACAATCTTTGATTTAATCTTATCGTAAGTCTTTAGTAGCAGTGTAGTCTTGCAATGGAATCTTTCAGCTCTCTTTAATCTTTATCAAGTTTTCAGTTTATTAGTCTGTTTAATCTCTTATGCCACTTTTACACTTATGCCATTTAGACTATCAATTAATAAACATTGAGAAAAATAATTATTATAACTGTTACATTGAATTCAGAAGAGTGACACATGTTTAATATTACATTCTATAAAAAATCCTAAGCTTAATTTCAGGAAAGATTCAGTTTTATTCTTATAAGTATTACAATTAGTCAAAACTCCCCTACCCCAATCCCTTATCAAAATCAATGTTCATAAACAACAGGTGAGGTTTTTATGTACCCACTAGATGCTTATATGTCCATGGGCAGGAATGATCACAGGAATTAACACATCCATCCAGCTGGACTGTGGAGATGTTTCTAATGTTTGATAGAGATCCTGCTATTCACGTAACTGTGGAGTGACTTGGCTAACTGACATATGTTCTTTAGGATCCATGGAGCACGTAACACATCCTGATGCTGTTCTCAGCCTTCTATGGCCTCTTGGTCACCGTTTCCTACCATCTGAGCTGGCAGAGCAGTGACCCATCTGTGTTCATGTGAGTGATCTATGCCTGTGCTGTCATCACTGAGCAGGGGGTGCGGTTCCCACAGCGTTTTGCCCTGACTGAGGTGGGAGATGGCAAATCACTGCCTATTGTAATTTGACTCTCATTATTAAACTAGCTGGTCATTCACCAGAGGAGGGCAGGAGAAATACAGGACCAGCCAGAAATTAGTAACAGTTAAAAGTGAACATCCAGCAAACATTTGGCTTTGCTCCTTTGATTTTGGAGTAAAATGCACAGTGGCAGGAACAGATGGCCAATAGCACCCAAGCCCTGTTGTGACTTTCCCTTGGGTGAGTTGGGTGAGAAGCTACCACCTCAACAATACTTTCTCTAGATCCATTAAACTGCATCCCTGCATTGAGGCAGTTACCTGTGGAGACTAAACCAGCACCTCTGAAAGGAAACTTTTTGTTCTATTTTGTGTGGTGGTGTTGGTTCTCAATCTGGCCAATGCCCTCTGGATTTAAAGTGAGATTTGCACCAAAGTGTTAAAATGTATTTAATGTGATCCTTAGTAATGTGAACATATACATTGCAATCTTCCCTTTCATCATATCTTTTAAGCCTTGGTCACATGTACTCTGGCACTGGAAGTCTTTCAAGTGATGCCAGAGTGAGTTTCAGATACTGACAGTAGCATCTTATGTAATGTGTTTAAATTTATGAAAAATTTTGATTTAAGATAACCATACTCTTGGAGGACCGGAGACAGCATATTTTAGGCTATTAGATGCGGGCAGTATCAAAGGCATGAAAAATGGAAAAAAGAAAAGTTAAATGGTTCTCACACTTTTTAGTGTCAGTGTATTACTCAGTGTTCACTTTCTGCTGCTAATTGTTTGTGAAGATGAAGCTCTAGTGGGCTGTCAGAGATGGAGGACCGTTCCTTTGTCCCACTGCTGACAGTAGAGGGTGATGCTGCTGCTGAGGTACTTGACTGCTCTCATTAGGGTGAATTTAGAATTATGATCACTTGAACGAGTACCTCTTTTTAGATTTTAAATGAAGAGGGCGCTGCTTTTGTCATGTGTGGGTGTGAGATCTAAGGTGAAGTTATTTACCAAAAACACTGCCCCAGGGACGTCATTGATAAAGTAAAACCTATGGTTTTTCCACTTTCAGGTCCTTCATTCAATGCAGACTGTTTCCTAAGTTTTTACATCAAAATCTGGAAGAGTCAGCTGCTGATCCTCTCCCCAAGAAGATGAAAGATTCTGTGGTGAGACATTTGTGTTGTGTAACGTAGTATAGGAGGGCCTCACTTTTCAGCAGAGCTCGGGCTCTCAATGGGCCTCTAGGCAGGTGGACATGAGAAGGGCTAGGACAGAAAGACACCTCAGCATGTCTCTGGCACACTGAACTATTGAACTGCCTGCAAGGGTGCAGCCCTTCAGAGCATCTTGATGGCGGCCGTTATGCACACAAGGCATGGGTGCTTAGGTGGCCTTCAGTTGGTTGCAGTTTGCCAGGATAGTCACATGAATCACAGTGAGTCAGTTTGCCTATTGCTGGCACCAAATAGCAGGTGGGCTCTGCACAAATGAAAGCTTTTCAGATAAACGTTTAGCCAACCTGCCTTCCTGATGTGGTCCACATACAACTCTTCTCCATCTTCTCCCTGCAGCTCCACACTGAGTTCAGAGCACTCTTTCAAAGTTGATGTCTGCACAGCCATTGCTTGGGGCACTTGGGCTTTAGACTTAGGGCTGGGTCACAGAGAAGTGGGTAACCACACTGGGGAGCACAGGAGAAGAAAGGAAGAAGGAGAGGGAGACAGGAAGAAGAGAATCCTACAGCTATAAAATAATGATGCCATTTCCTTGTTCATCAGGAAAATGGCTCTGGACAGCTTCAAACTTTTTTCTTTTTTTTTTTTTTTTTTTTTGAGATAGTCTTGCTCTGTTGCCAGGTGCCAGGCTGGAGTGCAGTGGTGCGATCTCAGCTCACTGCAACCTCTGCCTCCTGGGTTCAAGCAATTCTGCCTCAGCCTCCTGGGTAGGTGGGACCACAGGTGTGTGCCACCATGCCCAGCTAATATTTTGTTTTTTTAGTAGAGATGGGGTTTCATCATGTTGGCCAAGATGGTCTCAATCTCTTGACCTTGTGATCAGCCCACCTTGGCCTCCCAAAGTGCTGGGTTTAGAGGCTTGAGCCACCGCACCCGGCTCAAGCACTCTTTTAGCAAATGTAGTTTCTTTGGTATCAACTTACAAACATTCATATGTTAAAAGCCAATGCTCCTTAATTGTGTAAGCTCACATACATGAGTATTGAACTTGGAGCTGTCTAATGTCCTTGACTCACACTTTTCCTGGTTTTCTTAGGAATAAGAGATAAAAGGAAAAGGGAATAATCTATTGATCAAACCAGGACTGTCTGTCATTTGTCCTGATATCCACAGAGCCAGTGCATGGTGTTCTAGTGGGTGCTCAGTACAGTTCATGGAATTTAGACGAGTTAATTGCAGTCTGCCATTCAAGGCAATGTATGGACTCACAGCCAACATGAAAGCCTTTAAAAGAAATTCATACTCAGCTTTTGTGCCTTTAAATGTGGTCACAATTCAAGCTAATGTATAAAGGCTTTTTTCCACCATAAGGGAATCAAAGGACAAATATCACTTATCAGTAAGGGCATAGTTCATGAATTTTAAGAGCAGAGATACATTTAAAAGCAAGTTAAAAGTCAAAGCAGTTGGCCCTGATGAGATGGCAGCCCCCAAAAAATAAATATTGACATAAGCCTCGCATCCTCAACCTGACTGCTAATATTTATACCTGGAGACTTACAGGGAGAAGGTCAAACTAACATTCCACAATACTTTTTGTAAAAGCTGTAGGGTAGCCCAGAGTCTACCCAAAAGTCTCCCATGAGTATGTGAAAAACTATGCCCTTCTGTCTTCCTCGATTTCATGACAATAAGAAGATGCATCTCTACTTTCTGATTTATTGTAGCTTTTTAAAAATTTTAACCTACACATGGAAGTAAGGAACCAGCAGAAACAAGTCTATAACTACTTCAGTTGTTGGAGGTATCAGACACAGATTTAAAAAAACTATTCTTATTCTTGAAGTAAAAGGCAAATTTTAAAATTATAGGCCATAGAAAATATTTAAAACAATCCAGCAGGTTTGAAAGCCAAATAGAATTTTTGAAACAAAGTAAACAAGTGAATCAATTGAATTCTACACCACCACACCACCCCACACATGGGAGATTAGATACATCTGAAGAGAGAATTCGTAAACTGAAAAATAGAGAAGAAAAATATTCAGAACATAACATCAATTGACAAAAAAAATCAAGAAATATGAAAGGGAAATGAAGGATAGATTGAGAAGATTTAAAATATATCTAATCAGAATTCCTAGAAAGGCTGAAGCATAATTAATACTTGGTGAGATAATATCTCAAAGTTTACCAGAATTGATAAAAGATACTTATCTTGAGATTCAGGAATTTCAGTGAATCACAAGTAGGGTAAATTGAAGAAGAAAGAATCCACACCAGCCAAGCCATAGAAACTGCAGCATGCCAAGCACATATACCAACTTAAAGCAAGTAAACAGAATGAACAGATTACATTCAAATGAATGACTGCAAGCTCCCTTATTGAGAGCCATCATGGAAGCCAGAAGATAGTTGTTTGATGTACTTAATGATGTGTAAAGAAAGTAACTAAAGTAACTACAAGCTAGAACTTTACTCCTGCTGAAAGTATCCTTTAAGGATAAAGGCAAAATAAAGTTTAGAAAAGAAATGCTCAGAAACCCTCATTACATGTAATCTGAAGGTATTTTCAGTAGAAAGTGGCCTTGTGGTAAAAGTAGTTTGAGGAGAAAAGACAAAAGGAAAAAAAAATGATCTTGGCTGGAAGGTCTGATTTGCAAGTGAAAAAAAAAAAATGGCAGGTACATTGGCAAATCTGAATAAATATTAGCTGCATAAAACCATGATAAAGCTATATAGTTGGCTTTAAAATGTAGAGTAGCTGGGCATGGTGGCACGTGCCTGTGGTTTCAGCTACTTGGGAAACTGAGGCAGAAGAATCGCTTGAACCCAGTGGCGGAGGTTGCAGTGAGCTGAGATTGTGCCACTGCACTCCAGCCTGGTGACAGAGTAAGAGTCTGTCTCAAAATATGTGAATAAAGTGGAATTAAAATACATGACTATAATAACATACAAGTTGGATGAGAGGAGAAATGAACTTCAAGTTGTCAGAGGTCTTAGTAATGTCCAAGAGAAGAATAAGATATAGATTGAATGTTCCTAATCCAAAATCCAAAACCTGAAATGCTTCAAAATCCAGAACATTTTGAGCACCAATGTGATGCGCAAACGGAGTATTTTGGATTCCGATTTTCGGATGAGGGCTTCTCAGCCTGTACCGTTAACTTCAGCTTGTGATAAATTAGATATGCATGTTGGGATGTTTTGTGCAACTACTAAAGGAATAGAAACAAAGCATGTAGGTTCCAATTCCAAACAGAAGGAAAAAAATAGAAAACTAAAAATAGAAGTTATTCATAAATAAGAAAATGAAATTGGACTACTATGTCATACTGTACTTAAAAACAATTTCAGTAAATTATAAGCCTAAATATGAGAAATAATACCTGAAAGCACTTAGGGTCACAATAATGGAAACTTCTTCCATGATATCAGTGTAGGAAATAAGTTTTTAAACAACACAAAAGGTTCAATTTATTTAAATTGTGACTTGATTTAGTATTTAAATTATACAGAAAAGCTACTAGTGTCTAGATGAATATAACATTCTCTAAATCAATGAGCAAACCATATCTCTCCATTGAAAATAGTTGCAGAAGAATTGCACATACACTTCACAAATGAGGAAATATAAATGGCTAAAAAACATGAGTATATGGTCAACTTCATTAATTATCAGAAAACTCCAAATTGAAATCACACTGACTTACTGTTTCAAAACTACCATACCAAGAAAAGTAAAGTGCTCACAATATTAAGTGGTGAGAAGTGTAGAGCAAGGTAATTTCATGTATTGCTGGTGGGAGTGTGAACTAGTATACACATATTGGAAAAAGTTTGGTTATATAAAAGTTTAAGACATGAGTAGACTGCACCCAGCAGTTCTACTCCCAAGTACTTTTCTGGAGCAAATCTTGCACATTTGCACTAAAATACACGTATAAGTTGTTCATAATAGCACTTGTTCATGGAAATGCCAAATGAGTAGTCCGTAGCAAAGGAAATGAACTTACAGCTAAATGCAATTCATGGGTAATCTTAACCACATAATGGTGAGCAAAGGAAACATAAACAAAAATAATGCATATAGTATGGTACAATATTTTGGGTAAACATGGACAAAATTAAATCGCTTAAAGCAGAAAATGATTTTCACCAGTCAGGTTGTTTATGGGAACCTCCAGGAGGGGAAAGAAGGATTGTGATCAGACAGCCACATGCAAAAAGCTACTAGAATGCTGGAAATGTTAGATGTATTGAATTAGTTGGTGGTTACAGAGGTGTCACCTTATAATATTAAATTGTGCTACTTATATATACTTATGGTTACCTGTGTCACATTTTAAAAATATAAAACATTTTTAAAAAAGACTAACATCAAACATTATCCAAATATATAGCGGAATGAGTTTTTCAGGCTTAGGATCCATAAATAAATAAAACATTACAAACCCGAGTTAGATTTAAGAATGTAAAAATAAGTCTGGGCGTGGGGGCTCAAGCCTAATCCCAGGACTTGGGAGGCCAAGGCAGGTGGATCACGAGGTCAAGAGATCGAGACTATCTTGGTCAATATGGTGAAACCCCGTTCTACTAAAAAAATACAAAAGTTAGCTGGGCATGGTGGTGCGTGCCTGTAATCCCAGCTACTCAGGAGGCTGAGGCAGGAGAAAAAAAAAAGAGATATAAAAATATTAAACTTGTATTTAAGAAAGGTAATACAATAATTTGGTATGATACTTGTGGCAAACTTAGCAAAATTAAATCTCTCTCTAATATCAACAATCCTTACAATTTGATTTTTAAAACCCTATAGGCAAATTATATGTGTATCATTTGTATATAACTATATAAAAATATATATATATCTGAGCTCCAAAATGAAGCCATTTGAAATTTTATATAAAATTAAGGAACAAATTATTAAGTAAATGTATAATTATCCTTCTTATAAATTAATGCAAATTAAAACCAGTTGGCATTTTTTTGTACACACCATTAGCACTGGGAAAATTAGTGATGGTGCCAATTGTGTCAAGATGCAATCTCTTAGACATCATTTGTATTTACGTAAATATTATCATCTGGAAAAGCATAATTATCAAGGATCATAAATGCTTACAACCTATGATAGAGTAAATCTATTGTTAGAGTTTTTCTAGGAAATCAATTCAAATTATGAAAAAAGTTTTAGGTACATAAAGATAATTTCAGCATAATTCATCATGATGAACAATGGAAGGCAACCTAATAGTAGCAGTCAAGGGATATTTGCAATAACTATATATGTCATTAAATTTCATTCACTAAATTAATGTTTTCAGTGATCACATGGCATTATATGTGTGTATATGTGTATGACATCACAAGGTAGAAAATTATTTAGTCACTAAATGATATTAGTGAGCCTATACAATTTTATCTATATATGTGTGCGTGTATATATATATTAGGTAGTACGGTAGAAAAGATAGAAAATTGTTTGCACACTAAGATTAGACCTTATGAAATATGCGTAGAAATACTCATATACATAAGGATTATAGCTAGAGCCATGGTTTAACATCCACAGGAAAATACAGGCTTGGGAAACAAAATGCAAATACTGTTAATGTCAGGCTATAATCACTGTGAAAGATTTTTCCCTCATATATGTTCTAGGGTGCTGCAGTGTTATTGTTATTCTCTAATAGAAAATTAACCATAAAAATTAAAAGATCTAAATTTTCAATTTTCTTCCATCTTGCAGAACATTCCCTTTCACATTCATTTTTGTAAGATCTAACAGTACAATTCACTATTAAGACATAGGGCATTTATTCAGAAGAAACAGATTCTTAAACTCTTGTTTAAATAATTTAACAGTCACAGATTTGTTTTAAACCTTCAAGCATGTGAAGAAAGAAGGCAGTACCAGTAATTCTCTTTTTATATTACAAAAGTAAGTTAAAATAAAAAACTCTCCTGAAAAACCTCACATATATTCATGTCTTATAGAAGGTAGAAAGATATAATAATATACATTTAAATGAGCAAAAGTGATTTAACAAGAAACCAACAAGTTAAACACTTTAGTGTTAAAGCCTGCTATCGCAGGACAGGGTAGCAAGCTCTGAAGTTCAGGTGTCTTACAAGATTCCTTTTAAAAATAGTATTTTTTTTTAAAAAATAGATTATTGTGTATATTTAAGGTCTATAACACAATGTCATGAAATACATATGGATAGTAAAATGGTTACTATAGTGAAATAAGTTAACATATCTGTCATCTCATAGTTACCCATTTTTATTTGTTTTTGTGGCAAGAGCAGCTAAAATCTACTTATTTTGCAGGAATCCCAAATATAGTTTTATTAATTATAGTTCTCATGAACATCAGATCTCTGGAGTTTTTTATCCTATGTATCTGCTACTGTATAACTTCTAACATACATGTCTCCATCTCTACCTCCCCCATGTTCATGTTAGCTCCTGTTTTATTCTCCATCTCTGTATATTTGACTCTCTCTCAATTCTACCTACAAGTGAAATGATGGAGTATTTGTCTTATGATGGAGTATTTGTCTTTCTGTGTCTGGGTACTTCACTTAGCAACATGTGCTCCATGTCCCTCCATGTTGTGGCAAATGGCAGGATGTCTCTTTTTATAAATACTGAATAATATTCTATTATCCCTTGTTTCTCTGTTGACAAGACACTCAGGTTGTTTCCACATCTTGGCTACTGTGAATAGTGCTGTAATACACATGGTAGGAAGATATATTTATGGCATGGTGGTTATATATCCTTTGGATATATGCCTAAAAGAGGGATTACTGGGGCATAAGGTAGTTTTTTTTTAATATCTTTTTTAAAATATAGAGATGGAGTCTCATTATGTTGCCCAGGCTGGTCTTGAACTCCCAGCCTCAAGCAATCTTCCCACCTCGGCCTCCCAAAGTGCTAGAATTACAGGCATGAACCAACTCACCTGACTTATTTTAAAATTTATTTAGAACCTCCATATTCTCTTCATAATGGCTACACAAATCTATATTCCCACCAAAATATATATATATGTTTTGCAGTATAATATTTTGGAGCAGAATAATATCTCTTTTTTGTGGCTTTGGGGAAAAACAGCTGTTTTCTTTTATTTAGCTGTTATTTTCAGCAGTATTAGGAGAGCAGTCTAGTTTCATAAACTAGCATCAAGAGTAAAAAGCTCAGTAATTTGCCATTTGCCATATGTATATCTCCATCACTGAAGCATCTGTTTAGAACTATTTCCCATGTGCAGCTGGGGATATAGGGCAGTTTGTTTATAGGTAAATGTCCTTTGTTAAATGTGTGTTCATGAGTAGTATTTTTCCCAAGTCTTGGCTTGCCTTTTTGTGTCTTTTGAAGAGCAAAAGTTTTACATTTTTGTGATGTCAATTTATTTAACTTTTTTTCTTTTACAGTTCAAACGTCAGTGCCCCATGTAAGAAATCTTTGCCAAATCAGGGTCGTTAAGATTTCTTCTTAGGTTGCTTTGAGCAGTTTGGTGGTTTGTTAGATTTATAATGTTGAGTTAATTTCTGTGTGTGCAGCAAAGTAAGTGTCAAAGTGTTTTGGTTTATTTTATTTGTAGATGACTATTCCGTTGTTCCAGCACATTTCATAAAAGGGTACTCCTCCAGTATCCTCCAACATCCTCCTCCAGGTTGGGAGCTCTTCATTTGTCCCAACATCCTTAACACATTTATTTAGCACATAGAGGTGCTGTTCTAGGAACTTGGAGTACACGTGATCAAGATAGACTCCAGCCTACCTTCATGGCATTTGCAGTGTGGCTGGGGACACCTATGAAGAACAAAGAATAGACAATGCCAGGTCCTGAAGAGTCTTCTGCAAAAGCTAATGCAGGGGAAGGGGAGGGAGGGTGGCACATTGGGGAGGAGATGAGGAGTGAAGGAGATGCTATCTCTGTCATCGCCTCCCCTGACCATGACTACCTGCCCCTTGCATAAGCCTGCACCTGAAAACATGAAGTTGAATCCAGAAAAAAGCAGGAGAAATACCCTGACCTTCTCTTATCTCTAGTCTCTGGCAACACCTCCCATTGGCTGAACCCAAGAGAAGCCACCTGTTACAGGAGTCCCTGACATACTGCACACAGGGCAGCCTCCCTGGTGCTGAGCTAGATAAGAAGAGATGGGTAATGAACTAGGGTGTGAAGAACAACCAGCCAGGATGATTAGCAGAATATTTTCTCCTAAGCTAGTGGCATTGCTTCAGCATGTCCATTACAGGCTGTTTCTTGTATTTTGGTATGAATTGATGTTTCACAAACAGTGTGAATCATTTATTTTATGAAACTATTTTTTAAAATAAATCAGATGGCCTGGTGCTCACGGGCAGAAAAAAAGGTGACCTTGGCATCATGACCCCACCTGGAAATTGGGTCTCAAAGCCACATTTGAGGCTAAGCAGGTGCAAGCACCAGTGAAAGAGCAGAATCCAGGAGCCCAAACAACCGAGTTCACATTCTGCTTCAGCTACTCACCTGCAAGGTGACAGAGAGAAAGTCCCTCCTCTCCCAGCCTCAGTTTCCCCAGCATGCATTAGTGATCCCTCATGGGCTTCTCAGCTCTGATGGGCCAAGAGCTCTCTGAGAAGTGAGAAGACACCAATACTATCAGAAGCCCAGCGTTTACTGATTGTGGAAGACAGATGACTGATTGTACTTATACGGAGGAAGAAATTCACAAATAAATGCTCCTGGATAGCACCACTCAGGAGCATTTCCAAGATGATTCAAATGCAAATGAGCACTCTATCAACGCCTGCTGGGACATGAAGAAAAACCAAGGGCAGGTGCCGCCATAGCAATTTTTAGGTGGAAGGAGGATTCCGGGAATGGCAGCAAGTTGGGGAGGTGAGAGAGACCCAGCTGGAGCTGGGCTCTGATTCCAGCTGTGACCTTCAGGATGTGACCTTTGGCAAGCCCCTTGCCTCTTCGGGCCTCAGTTTCTCCATCTGTAAAATGAAGGGGTTGAACATATCACTACTCTGGCCCCTTTCAGCCCCATGCCCATATGTGCCAATGGATCCAACAGTAGGCAAAATCCTGGGGAACTGAAGTTTCCAGGCCTTTAGCCAGAGGGAAAGCTCCCCACTGGGTTAGGAGCACAGGCCCACAGGCTGAGCTGAAGGCCAGGCCCACTCCAATTATTTCCATAACTTTGGGCAGGCCCTTTTTTTCTCTGTGTCTTGGTTTCTTTCCCTGGAAAAGGAGATCTTCATGGTGATATGATTGGGTTGGATTTAGATCTCGTTGTGTTTCTATTTGTCCTATCTGGTATTTGTATACCTTTTCCCTTTCTCTGCCTTCTTTTGGACTGCATATTATTTATGATTCCACCTTGTCTTCTCTGCTGCTTGTTAACTATAACTAAGTTTTGCATTTTCGTGGTTACTTGAGGTTTTATAGTAACATTGTTAGCACAGTCTGCCCAGGAGACATTATACCATTTCTCACTTTAAGAACCTTTACAGCAGTGTAATCCCAATTCTCCTCGCCCACCTTTGTACTAGGTTTATTGTTTTACTTCTACATGGTTTGTAAATATTACACTACATTATTGTTTTTTGTTTGTTAAGGTGCCTCACAGGCCAGGAATGGTGGCTGACACCTGGAATCCCAGCACTGTGGAGTTTGAGTTTAAGACCAGCCTGGCCAATATGGTGAAACCCTGTCTCTACTGAAAAAAATACAAAAATTACCTGGGCGTTGTAGTGGGCAGCTGTATCCCCAGCTACTTGGGAGGCTGAGGCAGAAAAAATCGCTTGAACCCGAGAGGCAGAACTTGCAGTGAGCCAAGATCATCACTGCATTCCAACCTGGGCAACAGAGTGAGAGTCTGTCTCAAAAAAAAAAAAAAAGCCGGGTGGTGGCTCACACTGTAATCCCAACACTTTGGGAGGCCAAGACAGGCAGATCTCCTGAGGTTGGGAGTTCAAGACCAGCCTGACCAACATGGAGAAACCCCATCTTTCCTAAAAATACAAAATTAGCAGGGTATGGTGGCACATGCCTGTAATCCCAGCCACTCAGGAGGCTTAGGCAGGAGGATTGCATGGACCTGGGAGGGCAGAGGTTGCTGTGAGCTGAGATCAAGCCATTGCACTCCAGCCTGGGCAACAAGAGTGAAAATCCATCTAAAAAAAAAAAGAAGGGTCTCACTATGTTGCCCAGGCTGGTCTTGAACTCCTGAGCTCATGCGACTCTTCCTGCCCCAGTCTCCCAAGGAGCTGAAATACAAGTGTGTGTGCCACCATGGCTGGCCCTTTTATAAGGTGTTACCCCCTTTGGCCTTTCCAGTCACTCTATGAGATAATTATCATCATCCCCATTGCACAGATGAAGAAACCAAAGCCCAGAGGGATTGACCCACTTGCTCAGGATCTACCCCAAGCCAGTGTTCCCTTAACATCTATTCTGCAGTTTGGTATGTGGCCATTGACAGTGCAAAAGGTGAGCTTGGTCAAAAGATGTTCCCAGAAAGTGTCATCATTATATATTTGAAGTGCAGGAGAAAAAAAATTAAAGTAGCATTTTAAGCTCATGATTCACAAAGTGTTGCTTAGGTTAAATATATTTAGTTCATACAGTGACAGTGCAAGTATGGTCATAGAAGTTTATTCATAACAGCAAAAACTAGAAACAAGTGAGACACTCATCAACTATAGAATAGAGAAACAAACTGTGGAATGGCCATGTAACGGAATTCCCAGCCGGCAGCGAAAGGCAGCAAACACTTGTCAACCTACAATGGGGACAAATCACAGATATTTTTTTGCATGTTTGTTTTTTTTGTTTTGAGATGGAGTCTTGCTCTGTACCCAGGCTGGATTTTGGTGGCATGATCTCGGCTCACTGCAACCTCCACCTCGTGGGTTCAAGTGATTCTCCCATCTCAGCCTCCTGAGTAGCTGGAATTACAGACACCTGCCACCACACCCCGCTGTTTTTCTATTTTTGTAGAGACAGTGTTTTGCCATATTGGCCAGACTGGTGTCAACCTCCTGACCTCAGGTGATCCTGATCTGCCTGCCTGGGCCTCCCAAAGTGCTGGGATTACAGGGGTGAGCCACATGCCCATCCTCAGAAAACAATATTGAGGCGAAGAGGCTAGACTAAGTGTACATATTATAAGAGTCCATTGATACAAAGTTCAAAAACAGCTAAAGCAAATCTGTGGCTGCCAGGGGAGGCAGATACCATCCAGGGAACCTTCTGGGCTGATGGGAATATGCTATATCTTCTTTTTTTAGACAGAATCTTGTTCTATCACCCAGCGGGAGGCAATGACATCACTTTGGTCACTGCAACCTCCACCTCCAGGTTTGAGCGATTCTCCTCCCTCAGCCTCCTGAGTATATGGGATTACAGGCACCCACCATCATGCCTGGCTAATTTTTGTATTTTTAGTAGAGAGGGGGGTTCACCTTGTTGGCCGGCTGGTCTAGAAACTCCTGACTTCAAGTGATTTACCCACCTCGGCCTCCAAAGGTGGGATTACAGGCATGAGCCACCTCACCCAGCTGGAATATTCTATATCTTGATGTGGGTGTGGTCACATCAGTGTCCTTGTAGGCAAAAATGCATCAACAGGTTACATTTCATATTGTTCAAGTTAATGTATAGCAGTATGCATCAATAAATCATCGTTAATAGATTAAGGGAGTTTATTTTTGTTTTGTAAGAGGGGATCTTGCTTTGTTGCCCAAGCTGGTCTTGAACTCCTGGCTTCAAGCAATCATTCCCCCTTGACTACCCACAATGCTGGGATTACAGGCTTGAGCCACCACGCTCTGCCAGGGTAAGTTTTAAAAAATAAATGTATTTAAAGAAAAATTGTATCTAAATAGTAGTTTGGGGTATGCAAATATGACAAAAACAAAAGAAAAAGCAAGGCAGCAAACAAAACTTCAACCACCGAAGTTGGGGGTAATGTAAGTGCTAGGCAATGGAGATGTATTCAGCTTCCCTCAAAGGG